TAGAAACATCTGGAAGAATCCAGAGTGGAGTGACAAAGTAGAAGACTAATCACGGTGTGGTGGTTTGAATAGGTACGGCCCCCATAGACTCATAGGTTGGAATGGTTGGTACATAGGGAGTAGCACTATTAGGAGGTGTGGCCTTGTTGGGGCAGGTATGGCCTTCATGAAGGAAGTGTGTCACTGTTGGGGTGAGTTTTGAGGTCTCAGAAGCTCACCAGTTCTCCTCCTGCTGCCTGCAGGTCAAGATGTAGAACTCTCAGCTCCTTCTCCAGCACCATGTCTGCCTGCATGCAGTCTTGGTCCCCAGCATGACAATAATGGACTAAACCTCTGAAACTCTAAGCAAGCCACACCATTAAATATTTGCCTTCATAAAAGTTGCTTTGGTCATGGTATCTCTTCACAGTAACAGAAAGCTTAAGACAGATACAAAAACAAAATTCAACAAAGAAACTGAAATACTGAAGAAAAATCAAACTGAAACAATACGAGAAATGAAAAATTCATTCATTCAGAAGAAAAAAGCCTCAGTGGACCCACTAATAGATGAAGTGTGTCAGAATGTCACAGCTTGACCATAAGGAGTAGGAACTGGATCATTTAGATTATTCAGGTAAATCAGTGAGAATTTTCCCTAAAAACATATGAATGGGTCATGCACAGGGCCCTTTGAACTGCATCCAGCCTCTTCACCGGCCATATCTCACATGTCCTTTGCCAGACTCTAGCCTAGTAACTCTCCTTGACCTCCCCATCGCCAACTTCTCCCCGACACAGATCTCACATCCAGTGAGTAACATGGCATACTCTGGACATCCTCCACCTTCATTGCAACCAAATTCTAGGCTTCTGCAAGGACCTACCCTACCTGTTACAGGTCCCTTCTGCACTGCATTCAACATCTTTGCCCAGCCAGAGAGCTCTCACTTCCTTCTCAGGGTCTAGTCTAGTGAGTCACTGTGACCTCCCCATCCACATCTACTCCCTAACTGCCAAATCTAGACTAGATCTTATATCCAGTGTCCCAGCCCACTCTGGACTCCCCTACCTGCACCAAAACCTATCTCTAGTATCTCTAAACTTCTCCCAGGAAACTCACTATCTAGCCCTCATCCAACAGACCATTCCCCTCTTACATCCAACCTTTCCATCAAGCAAGATTTATCCCCATCATTCCAAGCTTAGATCAAGAGGCACATCCTGTACACCAGCCCAATCTCATCTGTCCACCTGACTTCACTTCACCCATGCCATTTCCAATCTCTAGGCAAGACTATCTTACACAATCTTTATTCCCAAACTGTTGTGCCCATATCAGATCTGGAACTAACAAAAGAAGTCCATATGATCAGATCTCATTACAAAAATACCAACAATGTGAAAGATCACACCTGCATCTTCTCTCAAAAACCTATCAGTTAGCTGGATGGTGGTGGCGCATGCCTTTAATCCCAGCATTTGGGAGGCAGAGCCAGGTGGATCTCTGTGAGTTCAATGCCAGCCTGGTCTTCAGAGCGAGATCCAGGACAGGCACCAAAACTACACAGAGATCTGGAAAAACCAAAACAACAAACAAACAAACAAACAAACAAAAAAACCCTATCAGTTCTGTAAAAGTATTTGCCAATGAGAATGATCTAGATAAACCCCAGGGCAAAAATTTAAAAGAACAATCATAAACTCCATCAAAGAATTCAAGGAGTTTAATGAAGACACAAAGAAACAGATAAATGAAATTAAGCAGAAAGCACTTAAGAAGAATATATGCCCAAGTGATGCCCAGGAAAACACAAACATGAGGTTGATGGAAATGATGAAGACATTAAGACACTCCAGCTCTTGAGAACAAAACTCAATAAGAAGACAGAAACACTGAACGGGACTCAAACTGAAATGAAGATGGATTTGAAAACCCAAACAACTTAACTGTAAAACTAAAATGAAAGCCCTGGAAGTAAGTGACTGAAGCAAAAGATAGACTTTATCAGAAAAGATAAAGTAGGCAAGATCTAGACCCAATAGGCAGGAAATACGAAAAATTAATTTAAAAACACACAGGAAAGAAACATACAGCAAATGTGGGAAAACACGAAAAAAAAAAAAACACCTTTGATTTGTAGGTGTAGATGAGGGAGAAGAATGCCAAATCGATGGCACTCTTCAGAGACTGACAGATCTTCAGAGACTGACGACATGCACAAGACCTGCATGGGTCAAAGCAAACCAAATCCCAGCACTGAAAAGGGGAAAGAGACACAAGTCCCCTTCCTAACTGTGAAGCTATTTGCAATTGATACCTGCTGGGAAGGAAAAGGAGTTTCTCCAATGGACTGCACTGAGTGTGTCAACCACATTGCAGGGCCGGCTCATGCCCATGAGTAGAGTTGGTCAAGGAAAAATGGGTTCTGTTTGATTTTGTTTTTTATCTGTTTTGATTTTTGGTTTTTAGCGGTTTTCCTGATTTTTTTTAGAGAGAGATGGAGAGACAGAGAGAGGGAGAAAAAAATGAAGTTGGATGGGTAGAGAGGTGGGAATGAGCAGTGAGGGAGAATATGACCATAAACATATTGTATTGAATGAAAGTTACTAATTTTCTAAAAGGTTGCTGGGTAAGCTAAATATCTACATGTAGAAGAAAAGAACTAGATCCATATCTCACTTACCCTTTTTGCACAAATCCTAAATGGTCTTATAATAAAAACCCTACACAAAATCAACTCCAAATGGATCAAAAACCTTAACCTAAGACATGGAAGTCTGAAACTGCAGGAGGAAAACGAAGGAGAGGCACATTAAGATACAAGCCCAGGTAAAGACTTTCTGAATAGGACTCCCCTCAGTCAGCAAATAGTGTGGCAACAGGCAAATGGGAATTCAAGAAATTAAAGAACACCTGCATGAGAAGACAAAGTGAATTGAAGAGACAGCCTATAGACAGGGGAGAAATCTTTGCCAGCTTCTACATTGGACAGAGAGAAGTTTTAAGTCATGCATTTTAAATGTACAACCATGGAGAAGAGTGCTCCGAGACGGTACTTCTAATGCCAAGCAGGTGTCTTCAGAGTATCCAGGTTGCTGGGCCATGAGGATCACCAGCACATGGCTGTAGGTTCATTCCCTCTTCAACACCCCTGACTCACCCACCTCCCAGCCTTGTCCACACCCTCTGCTTATGGTAAGGGTGGGGTCTTGATATGACCTATGATGTCCATTTAGACCACCTGTTCTGGGTAATTTCAGTATCAAGGGACAAGTTTAGCCAGGAATTTCATGTCTGATAAAGAAACTGTGCCATGTGTCCCACCTGACTTTATCCTGTTTTCTTTATGTCTCTATTCCCTTATCTTCCTTTTTATCTCCACTTTGTGTTCCCTTGTACTAGTCAACTGTCTTAAATACTTAAGATGAATTGCTAAATGGTCTTATTAATAAAAAAAAAAACCCAGAGCCAGATGTTGGGTGAAAAACTGAGAGATCAGAGGAATGGGACAAGCCACAGCCAACCTCACCTCACCAACTCCTCAGCTTCCAAAGAGACCTACTTCCTGTGTACCCATGCCTATATGCCTTTCTGTTCTGCATCTCGCTTCCTCTCTTTGGCCTGCTACATCACTTTCTGTCTGTCTGTACAAATCTCCAGACATCTAGGGTTAGTGCTGGGATTAAAGGCATGTGCCACCATGCCTGGCTCTGTTCCCAGTGTGGCCTTGAACTCACAGAGATCCAGATCTCTGTCTCTCGAATGCTAGTGTGCTACCATTGCCTGACTTCTATGATTAATATAGTGGCTGGTTTGCTCCTCTGATCCTCAGATAAGCTTTATTAGGGTGCACAATATATTGGGGGACACAATATATTACCACAAAATACACTTTTCTTTCTTAAATACTTCTCACATAATTTTCCATCTCCAATCCTCATTCTCATCTTTGGATTCTCACCTTAATTTCCAAATTCCACTGAAGCCAGAACTAGCTACTGTAAGGTAAGAGCCTGAACATACAGGAGAGGTTTAAAGGTCTCCTGTGGACAGAAGCTGGCTCTGATATCCTTCCCCACCTACCCGAGGCTGATCATTAACATAGTACTTCTATATAAACAAGTGCCAATGCTTGCTTGCAATGGGGAGAGCATTGCCTACAGCCATGGCCAGCACAGTAAGCTCCAGTACCAGCACTGCC